TGCCTGCAGCACGTCCTTCGTTCCCAGCTTAGGCGCTTTATCTCTTTGCACATGTAATTCCTTCTGTCTGGACAGTTTCCCTGCAGTGCCCCACACCCTCACAGATCTGGCCAGTCTTTACTCATCCTTTTCATCTCATTTCAAATAGCATTTGTGCAAGTGGCCTTCTCTGACTACTCCTCCATTGTAAGAGATCTTGGAGTACTTATGATTACGAGAGTGCTCTAACCCCCATGGGTCCCTAGTGCCTGGCACATCAAAGACACTCAGTACACATTTACCAATGAATTACAGCCTAATCATGCACTAAGTTTGTCTACATTTTCCTTTTTCAAAAATGTCTTTATTATTTATTTTAGATTTGCACTATCTAATTCAGTAGTTGTTGTTCATCTTATTGTTGAGCATTTGAAATGTAGTTTGTCCAGATTGAGACATGTTATGTTAAAAATACCCATGAGATTTAAGACTTAGTATTCAAGTTAGAATTTTAAATGTCTCGTACCTTTCTAATCTAATAGTGATTATATGCTGCAATAGTGTTTTAGGTATATTGGGCAAAATATATTATGAAAAAAAATTTTAATGTAACTGTTTGCCAGGCATGGTAGCACATGCCTGTAATCCTAGCACTCAAGAGGCTGAGGCTGGAGCATCACCTTGAGTTCAAGCCCAGCCTGGGCTACATAATGAGAGTTCAAGGCCAGCCTGAACTATATAGCAAAACCTTGTATCAAAAAAAAGAAAACAGGGCCAGGGATTTAGCTCAGCGGTTCGGTGGCCTGCCTTGCAAGCACAAGGACCTGAGTTCAATCCCCAGTACCAAAAAAAAAAAAAAGAAAACAGCTGGGCATGGTGGTGCAGGCTTGTAATCCCATCACTTAGGAGCCTGAGGCAGGAGGATCACCTTGAGTTTGAGGCCAGCCTGAACTAAATAGTGAGAGTTCAAGATGAGGTTGAACTATACATATATTAAAAAAAAGAAACAAACAAAAAATTAAATAGGCTGGGAGTGTAGCTCAGTTGTAAAGTACTCACCTAGCATACACGAAGCCTGAGTTCAATCTCCAGCATAGCAAGTAATTAAATAAATGCTTATTGAATTGCATGTGTGGCTTCTGTTTATGTTGGACATCAATGCTCTGTGAATTTTAAAATAATTTTATTGCATTTTTAAGATTTTCCATTGGACTGAATTATATTTACAAATTCAGTATAGAGGAAGTTGTCCATCTTTATAGAATTGAATTTTTTTAGCCAGGATGTTACAGTTCTTCACTCACACCTTTTTGTCCTTGTTAAGGTAATGTATTTTTCTTCTAGTTGGCCCTATTTATTCTTACTGGGTATTTTACAGTTCCTGTTACTTATTGTTGACTGTTAAATTATTTTACCTAGTATTTTTTATGTGCAGTTGTTTTTGAAACTCTACTTCTTAGATCTTGATTCTAACAGTGCTAATGATTCATTTCACTTGTATTTCCTATGTAAATTGTCATATTTGCTTGTGACAGCAGTTTTGTCCATCCCCCCCCACTTTTTTTTTTTTTTTTTTTTTTTTTTTTTTTTTTTATGAACTCAGGACCTTGTGCTTGTGAGGCAGGCAGTAGAACCACTGAGCTACATCCCCAGCCCTTGTCTCTTCTTTTTTTAATGGCTGTGTGCTTTAATTTTCCCTTGTCTTGTTGCTTTGGCTAGAAGTTCCAGAACAATGTTAAGTAAGAATAGTGATGGTGGAAAACCTTGTCTATCTTCCAGCCCCTGATGGGAATGCCTTTACTAAAGTGTTTACTAGAATGTGCTCCAGGGAACACTAATTCTTTGGAATATTGATGTGTGTACCTTGAGAGAAGAGTTAGTACCACAGTTAAATGACTTGCAAACTGCTGAGGTAAACAGAATGTTTGTCTGCAGGACTTTTCAGATGGGGTATTATGCTAATGTGTTTTTAATCCCTAGGAGGTATTGGGGCTAGCTCCTGGGCTTGTGTTGGGTTGAATACATTTTTTGGGAAATGCAGACATAATGTTTCCTTTCTAAGGATAATGGTTGACTTGCAACAGACTATTATATTAAGGAAGTATTTATTGTTCTGTTACTAACTTACTGAGAGTATTTTTCTGTTACCCCTAAAGGGCATTTAACTTCCTCAGGTGGATTTTGGCATAGTATTGATTTGGTCATATGGGGTTTTCAACTTTGGCTTTCTGGCATTACAGATCATAATTGTATATTTCCTAATGTGTAGCCATCCTTACATTTGTGAAGTAGCTGTTCTTGTTCATAATGTATTCCTTTAATATGTTATATTTCCTAGTAGTTCTGTTAGTACTTTAAAATCTACTTAGATGAAGTGTTTCTCTTTATGCTGTTTGTCATCTTCTGGTATCAAATTTGTGCCAGATGAACTGAAATTCTTTAAATGTTTCTACATGCGTCTAGAACAGTGTGAACGGCCTGAAGATCATTTGTGCCTTAGCACTTCTGTTTCTTTTTTATTTAGTTCTGCCAATTTATGTTATCCTAAAAATATGTCCATTTCATACAGATTTCAAATTGATTTCAATCATAAGTCTAGGACAAATAAAGACACAGTATTTCTCTTTGACTAAAATGTCTAAATTGTGACATGATTTTTAAAATTCTGGTGTGATATAGTCACACTAAATGATTGGTCCCTTCCTGTGAGCCTGAGATTTATTGTGCGTTATCTTAACATTTTTAGGTTTTTCTCTGGTTACATGCTATTTCTCTATTATTTTCTTGCTTTTGGCTTAATTTGTTGTTCCTTCTGTAATCTAAGTTTAGTCATTTCACTTATTTTTTAAGGATTAAAAACTTAAAATTTCATTATGAAAACTTCAAATAAATCAGGAGTTGTAGCACAGTCGTATAATCCCAGAACTCAGGAAGGCTGAGATAGGAGGTTCTGCCAAGAGGCATGCTCTCTCTCATGGCAAGTTCATACCCTGCTTGGGCAACTTATTTAGGGAGACCCTGTCTCAAAATACAAACATTTAAAGGCTGGGGATCTAACAGTGGTTCTGCTGCCTGCCTTGCAAGTGCAAGGATCTGAGTTCAATGCCTGGTACCCCCCAACCCCAAAATTAAAAGGTCTGAGAATATAGTTCAGTGTGAAATGGTCCTAGCTTTACTCCTCAGTACAAAAATAAACAAATAAAATAAAAATAAATAAAACACACCAAAAAGCTGAAAGAATTTTACAACACTCAGATACTCACCATCTTGACTCTTCCATTACTATTAACATTACATAGTGGACCCTTGATGTATGTAAGAACTCAGTTTGTTCCTGAGGGCTGGTTGTAACTCAAGTTAGTTGATTATCTTCAAAGTTTCTCTCCTGTCTCTCTCCTTCAGGCTCCACTTTCTTTCAGGCAGATCTAAATGTCCTTAGACATTGGCCCAGGATTTCTCAATTATCCCCACACAGGAAAAGATGTTGTAATATTCCTTCCAGAATTCTTTACAGGTTAAATCTGTATCTAAAACTGTCTGGAAGCCCAAGCATCTGGCATTCGATTTGTAACTCAAGACTTTGTTCTGAAGCTAAAACTAAAATTCCAGTCATAACCCAAGTTGTTCATATATCAGGCTGGTCATAACTCGAGGGTCCATCGTATCATGTTTGCTTTTTCATGTATTTATCCATCTGTTATTTGGAAATATTCTCAAGTTGAAGATAGATACAAACTTCACTCGAGCCTTTCTTGCTACAGATTCTAATGTGTTTTCTCATTTCCTAAATACTTTCATTCAATTCTGATTTTTCTCTGAATACTTATTAAGGAGATGTTTAAATTTTACTGGTTCAGGTTTTTGTTTTGTTTTTGTAAGATAGGGTCTCACTATGTAGTTGAGACTGACCTGGCACTCACTATGTGGCCCAGGCCAGTCTCGAACTCACAGTGATCCTCCTGCCTCAGCCTCCTGAGTGCTGGGATTACAGGCGTGCATCACCACGACCGGCTGGTTGAGTTTTAAAAGCTAAAAAATACAGGTTAGATCCAGCTTCACTGTGATTTGGTCAGAAAATAGAGGCTGGGCTCCACCTGCTTGAGCAGCTTTGAGCAAACCCTGGCTGCACATTCCAGGACAGAGGGAGCAGCCCTGCCCTAGGTGTTGGTGCTGTGAGCACTGGCGGAGGGTGGTGCACTTTTAACGTGCCCATCACTCTTCTTATTCCTTCTGCCTAAAAATAACTTCGCTGGACAGGACCGGGCATTGCTGTGCCGTATGAAGGCGTGCAAGGCTGAAGGGGAAGAAGTGCGAATCAAGACATGATACCAGAGGAGTTATCTACACTCATTGTACCTATTGTTGCAGTATTGTGTACAGATGCCAATTAGAAATGCACAAATACAGCCGAGGATTTAGCTCAGTGGTTCCGCTGCCTGCTTTGCAAGCTCAGGGTCCTGAGTTCGATCTCTGATACCTGCCCCCCACCCCCAAAAAGAAAAGTGAACAGATAAGGCAGGACATTCATTAGATGAATTTAAGTGTTTTTTTTTTTTTTTTTTA